TTGTGTTGAATCCTCCTTTAATCTTAATTGTGTATTTAAAGCATGCAATTATGTGAATTAATTGATGTGGTGTGTAAAAGCATGTTTTAATTTCATGAAAAATTGTTTATGCTTATATGAGTCTTGTGTATGTAATATGATAATTGTATATTATATGATAATTGACAATATGTGTATTGCCTATTTGAATTGTATAAGATGACATGCTAAAGTTGAATTTATATGCTTGAATTTTATGTGAAGCTACATGATCCTATGTGTTATTAAATGTATGTGACATGTTGTTGATTATTGTGTTGTGACAAAAAAAAAAAAAAAACATGCTCTAGGTGATTTTATTCCATGCCTTGTGTATTTAAATTACCGTAATTAAAATGTGAAAGTATGGTACATGTATTACACAAATTTCTCTTAAGTGTGATATGTGGTTTAAATGTGAATATGTGAAAAATTATGGCATGGAAAGGCATGATGCATTTATGCATAACATTGGGCAAGAAAAATGAGAAAGAAATGTTTTGAAATGAAAAAGAAGTGTTAGGGAAAAAGATTTGAGAAAAGAATTTTGTGAAGACTCGAACGCTAAGGGGGTACCGAGGGTCCGTGGCGTTAATGTAGCCTAGAGGGAATTAGGGAGATCGCCCTAGCATGGTTGAGCTATCTGGGCTCCAAATGACGCCACAGGGGTACCAAGGGTCAGGGACAGTAGCCAATCCTTCTCTTGTCGCTGAGGGGTTACCGAAGGGGGTTATATTAATGGTTTGAAAAGTGAAGAATCTGAGTGATTTTAAGTATGGGGAGCAACATTCATGGCATCATATATTATGGCACGGCATTGTTATTTTGAAATTGGATTTGACGTTGTATTCTCTCCCGACATAGTATGATCCTTATTCTCTATTCCTATTTATTGCTTGGATTCACGGGGTCACAAGAGGTGTGTCTTAGGCACCACCTACTGAGCAATTTGCTCACCCCTTATATTTAATATTTTTCAAGACACGGATGGCAATTGGCGGACGACGCTCCTCCACAGGTTTGATGGGTTAGTAGACCGTTTTGACATACTTTGTAACTATAATTTCATTTTATTATTATTTATTTATTATTACTTATTTTTTTATAAATCCGGAATGACACGTATAATATGTATTGACGTAGGAAAGAATGGTGTTGTCTCTAGTTGACCTCAGGTTCGATTAAGGACCCGGTTAACGGTTCGGACCTACGGGTTCGGGTCGTTACATTATGTATCATCATTTTTGTGTTCCTTATCTTTCATCATTTATCTACAAATCACATAGTAAATAGTGTGTTTATCACTTGAAATGATATATACCTTACTCAGTGACCCAACAGCTTGTTTTGTGTAGATTGGATTTGTATTGCTTGTGATTTTTTGACAGATTATTTTTTCTCTTAATGGTTTGTGAGAATGGACATGTAATGCACTTTCATGAAAGTGATTTAGTGGATAGAAATCAGACTGGTCTGGCCTAGAGATGATGAAACCCACAGAAGCTAAAGTTGCATGTATAGCAGTTTATAAGCCAAAAGAGGAAGGAGGTTTAGGGATTCCAAACCTGGAAATCTCTAACAAAGCGGCAATATTGAGTACCTCTGGGACCTTCAGTCCGACAACAGTGACAGGATTTGGATCCAATGGTGCAAATCCTATCTTATCAAAAACAGAAACCTTCTCTTCTTCAACTCTACCTTCAGCTCTCCAATTAGGAAAAGTTTTGCAAGATAGAAGCAGGTACCGTACGCACTACACAACAGACATCTGGGAAGATCTTGTTACATGGATCAATGAGCGATGGAAGACGAATTCTTCAATCAACTTGGTCAGGAATGTTTGCCTCTTCAGCAAAGTATGCAACTCCATTTCCTCAATTCTCAAGTTAGAGTCCGCGGAGCATGCTCTACTTCAAGGAACATCCTCGCCGAATGGAATCTTCCCCTGTCATGCTGCCGTCCACCACCGAGACCGCCGGATTGAAGGCATCGACCAATGGTCATGGTGCCGTTAGGGCATGCTCCACCGGATTTTGACTGCGAATATCCTCTCTAATGCTCCGTTCGGTAGGAAAAAAGAAAATTGGATGGAAGGGAGAGTAGAAATGAAGGATAAGACGTCCCTAGGGAAGAGATTACGAACTTCCCTTGTTTTATTCGGTTGGGTGGAAAAGAAGAGAATACGCTGACAATTTACTTTGTTCGTTAAGACAGAATGAAAAAAAAAAAAAAAAAAAAAATAATAATTATTTTTACCATCATACCTTTACTATTTTTACTACTCATTTGAACCTTTTTTATGCATTCCATTAATTTCAAATTTGTTGTTGGTCTTTTATATATATATATATATATAATAGAATCATATTTCATCATTAAAAAAAGAAAAAGAAAAAATAACCACTAGCTACATGCCTGGAAGCAGAGAGTGGGATTCCATCACAGGGATTCAAATATCTAATCCTGCGGTCCTACCTACTGCATGGGCATTGCTGTGCATCTAACCTCAAAAGCTTCTTTAGCTCTCTTCTGTATATACACACACATATGTATGTATGGTTGATAAATGTGAATCTATTTGGGTTTCTCAAAAAGCCTGGCACATAAATTGAACTTGATTTGGGGACTTTTAACAATTCTGTATTAAGGTTTTGCTTGAGATGAGATTGTAGAGTTTATTAATATTTGTGAAGGATAATTTTGTAATTTAACTTTTTTATAATAGCTTCACTTGTTTTCTATCGTATCTTCCGCCCAAATTTGGGCGGATAAAAATTTGTAAAGGAGGAGGGATGAGTCATCCCTCCTATTTTCCTTTCTCTCCGTATCTCCTTCCTACCGAACGACCGAACTTTGTTCTTTCCCTCCTATTTTCCCTCCACTTATCTTCTTTCCTTCCTACCGAACAGAGCATAAACGGTTCTAATGATCCGTTAATACAGGCTATTTGCTTTGGTTTATTGGGCCAGGTTTTATCCTTGGGTTCAGCTTAATTCTTCCTTGGGCTTGGGTTCTAGTTTTCTGGATTGTATTGGCTGCAGGCCCACATGTACTTTCTTATTCATTTATACAATTTACTTGATGAAAAAAAATAATAATAATAATCTTATTATTATTCAATGGCCCCATTAGAAAAAATTTCTAGATTCGTCATCACTCGACATCAATGCTCCTTCCCTGTCAATTTTTTACCTTTTTTTTAAAAAAATAAAATAAAATTTGTATTACGTATAAAGAAAAGGACAAATGTATAGGGCATTGAAGTAGCCTTGGGCTAAAGGAGAACCTTAGACTAAGCCCATAATAGCAAGCCCAACCTAGGGACCAAAGCAAAATTGAAATAAAGCTTGATCCAGACCCATTAAACCAAGAACATTAAATATGCAACAATAAATGCGATTGAACTAACTAATCACCAAAAAAGAAAAAAAAAATAATCCTTTGTATAACTGTCTCAAACAACAATTATATAAAAAGTTGATTAAAATATATATCTAATCTTTGGCTAATATATATTTATCTATTAGAATAAAATGTAAAAGGATAAAAAAATTTAAAAAAATCCTAGAATCTACGACAATGATTACAGAAGATAAGTTTATTAAAAAAAATGCACATTTAGAAATTCAATGTATGGCTTTGCGTTTCTATGACGACTTGGACAGCTCCTAAAACCCTGAAAGTGGCTGGGCGGGAAACTTCAACAGGTATCCAGGGCAATCTCACAATTCAATGAACAGTGTCATAAGCCTACAGATCGAAGTTAAAGAAGGGTTTTTTCTTAGAGATGACAAAACATTCCGTCCCCAGATAATTTGGTTAATTGGTTTTGGATCACAATGAGTTAGAAATGAAAACCCGCACATGTGAAAATAAAGAAAGGTTGAACCGTCTCTATCGATAAATTATAATTTTACTCTTATATGTGTTTCATATTTATAATTTATGATAAGCAAAACCTCCGATCATCCTATTTCAATCACTAAGACTTCTTGCGCTCAACCCTCCTCTCTCTCATATTGTTCTCTCTTTATTGTATCTCTTCTCATATTATTTTATTTATAGATTTATAATACAATTACAAAAGTACTTTCTTAAACCCGTTTCCAACCTCACCCTGCTCCGTTTAATAAAAGATTTTGGATCAGGACAGATAGTTCTACTAAATGAAGATGAGATCCCCAACCCCATTGTCATTCCTAGTTTTTCTCCAAAGGATGAAAGAAGAAATTAGGGAGGTTTAAAGAATTGGCAATTTCTTTCGCATAGGAGGAATTACATTGCCTTACTGAGAAGAGGAGATTTCTGATAGACTTGCAAATGGATGTTTAGGGTTTTGGAGGGAAGGTTTGATAATGTTAGTGAACACCCTAGAATTTGTTATCTTCATTGTTTCCTGAAAAAATGCTACTCCATAGTAATAGATTATTAGTAATTGAAATATGTCATTGCGTAAACTTTTAACAATATGATGAATAAATATAGACTACTAAAATTTTACTTTGAATAGATTTGATTAGATCTCTACATAGTCATAGAACAAGGCTTGCTCATTGAATGGACTCTCTCTCTCATGTTGCAAAATGGGGTACGGAAGAGGATATACTTCAAACATAAACAAAAAGTTGATTTAGAAGCTCAATACCCAAAAAGACAACGTGAAAATGAGTTTGTATCCGAGTGACATTAAAACATCATCATCTCGTGAAAAAGTGGGGTACAGGGGAGGATGTTTTCAATCAAACTAAAATATACTATGGATGATCGTGGAGAATGATATAGGTGTGTTCGATTGTATGGAATTGGAGTTTTGGAATTAAAATTTGTGGAATTTAAAAAAAAAAATTAGTTCAATTTTCTTAATTAGTTTTGTCAAATTCCATATATTTCAATTCCAAAATTTTAATTCCATACAATCGAATACACGTTATATATATTTTATACTTCCTCGATATTAGTACTAAGTTTTAAAATTTCATTCAGTTAAAACAATCTAAATAAATGTAGTATTATTATGGTAACAAATCTTCAAAATAAGATATTACAAAGAAGTAGTGTTTATTCTCACAATGCCTTCACATATGGCCCACAAGACAAGTTGGTTAATAGCCCATTACTTAAAAAGTCCTCTCCTTTTCTTTACTTCCCTATAAATTTCCATGTTAAAAAGGCTCTTGAAGAAGCACAAGACTAGAACCTCACTTATTACTAGCTTAAGCTCAAGTTTTACCTACCAATGGCCTTTCCTTCAACCCTTGTTGTCATGATCACTCTCACCCTCTTTATCTCAACCACCATACCATCATCTCAAGCCCTCATAATCAATGGCATACGTACAGGGGGCACCATTGTTTGTGCTGATACTTCTATAGCCACGGCTAAAACATTCAGACCAATCCCACGAGCACCGGTTCAGTTCCGCTGTGGAAACAGCTCCACAGAAGTTGTGCTAGCATCGGATGTGTTACGACCCTCAACCGTAATCCAGGTTGTGAATATAAAACAGAACAAAGAAATGCTCATATTCAAAAATGTCTGACCAAGCCCTGGAACAATGTCAAAAAATAAAAAAAATTAAATTAAATTTTAATGTCCATAACTGATAATAGAAAAATCCCTTGATTCAAAATCATTTTAAATAAAGTTTCCTGTTCACACATTATCTAAAAATATGAAAGTGGGTTTCATACGTAAAATCCCATAATCCTTTAATTACAATATTTAAACACGATCTGTTTGGAAAAATATTTACAAATATACATACTGGTCTCAAAATATACATTTCCCATTTAGACAAAGATAAATAACCAAATAGAACCCAACATCCATCCATGGCTGTGGAGGAAATCCCTCTACGACCTCTTGTCCATAACCTGAAAAAAAATATATATATATAATAGGATGAGCAACCACAGCTCAGCAGGAAATGCCTAACCACCACTCCTTAATACCCCGATGAATCCAAACAAAGAATAGGAATCAGAAAGGGAGTCATGCTAGTCAGGGGGAAAATAATCATCACATAATCATACTATCACACAAAAACGGTCAACACAAAATAATATAAAGTGCCATATAAGCAGAGTCAAAATCATTCCCCTTAATACAACCTTCTATACAAAGTATCACCTTTCTAATTAACACAACCATTATCACAACCATCAGTCTAAAGGTAAACCCCTGTACTGTGAAAAGACTATCATTTTATTAATACCTAAGGAACCCTTTAGCATTAATGATTTACTGCACCTAGACAAAAGGATAACTACCCATGTCTAATCATAAACACAAACTGAGAATATCCATCTCTATTACTCCATAATTACCACATTCATGCTGAGAGAGAAATAACTACAATATCACATTTATAAACCAAGTCATGAATAGATATGCCATGCAATGGGTGCAATGTCATGCGATATCGCTTCCCATTTTTCCAAAACCAACCGTCACTTTTCAAACTGTTAATGTAACCCCCTTCGGTAACCCCTAAGCGCCGAGAAAATGATTGGCTACTGTCCCTGACCCTTGGTACCCCCGCGGCGTCATTTGATCCCCAGATAGCTCAACCACACTAGGGCGATCTCCCTAGTTCCCTTTAAGTTACATTAACTCCACGAACCGTTGGTATCCCCGCGGCGTCCGGGTTTTTATAAAAACCATTTTATCAAAATTTCTTCTCCCAAAAATCCCTTTCACTTTCATTTCAAAATACTTTCTCCTTTTCTTTCATGCCCAATGCTATGGATGAATGCACATGCCTCACAATATTATAATACCACATCATTACTCACATCAAAATCCAATTCTATAAATATACTTTGGTAACAAATATATCATGGCAGCAAATTTCACAATGACATACTATCCCAGCCTTCAAGAAATCAACTCAAGCATGTTGTCACCTAATCTATACAACATAGAAGTTATTAGACATAGAAAACATATAGAAATTCTATGGACACTCTTTGGCAGCAAATTTATCATAGCAGCATGTTTCAAGGACAATGTATCATTCAGTTCTTCGAACACTATTACAACACCAAACTTATAACAAAACAGCCCATAATTGAAGTGAACTAAATATATAATTTCCAGCTTGTCAAACAATAACAATACAACCATTATGATTACTAGAATTTCAGTTTTTAGGCGCATAAACATCAACAACATTTTAAAAGCTCAAATTCCATATTTAAAACACATAACGCATCATTTATGTCTAAGCTACAAAATTTCAGATTTTAATTACACAACATGCTTGTAAAGAAAGCCTAATTCAAGTCATATAATGGTTCAATTTAAGAGATTTAATTTACAAGGAAACAAAGGGTGTGAGGGTTAAAACAACCCCTACTAGTTGTTAACAATTCATACGCAGCTTGTTACTTTTATCTTTGAAAATTCATAATAATTTCAATTCTATGTCAAATTGAGTGATTTGAAAGCCTAATGAAAGCTTAAACAATTTACTTTGAAAGTGTCAATTTAGTTTAACAAAATTCCTTCCCAATTGGAACAGTTTTGACCCAAAATTTTGAAATAAATTCTGCCCAGAAAACTGATTTTCAGCCTGTTGCTTCCAACTTTGAAAAATTATAAAAAATTCAATTCTCATCTAAATTGAGTGAATCCAAAACCCATTGAAAGTTTAAAGACTATATTTTCAAGATAAAATCTTATTTCACCAAAATCCCTTACCATTTAAATCAGGTTTGATGAGAAAAACTTGGACAAAATCTGCCCCCAACCCAGAATTTCCAGCAAGAACACTATAACTTCAAAAATTCGTAATAAATTCATTTATCAACCAATTTAAATGAAACCAAATCTCAATGAAAGCTAATTAACTATATTATCATAATATCAAATCATCTCTAAAAGATAAATTACGAATTTACATGAATTTGAGCAAAACAGTAGCATGTAATTAAGTTTCAGCAGCATAGAATTTCAGTTTTATTTGTATACACTTTGCAACTCAAAATTTGAAAGAAATTAACTCACTAAAGGCAAAGGAATTGAGGGTTAGACAATCCTACCTCTTAGCAGCTTGAAAACCCAGCTATCAACAATTTAAAGCAATCCAAAGTAAGCTACCAATTTTGCAAAAAGATGAAGAACACCTCTTGAAATTCAACCAACCCTTCCCTTTTCAAATCAGCTTTTAAAATCCCAGCAGTAAAGAAATGATTGCAACTTTGCTACCAAAATAAAGCCCAAGACATCAACTACACTTTTCATTCACAAACCCTTCTCAAAATCCTAACACAAAAGCTTCAAATTGTCGTGTAAAGAAGACTACTATGAAGGAGAACAAAAGGAACGAAAAATGGCATTTTGCAGATTGTGTTTTGTGTCTATCACATTCAATTGTAATGCTATATGTCATCACACACACACACACAATATGTGGCCATGTGAACCCCCATGTGTCAAGCTCAAAATTAGTCAAATGCAAGACCAAGCAAAAATGACCAAAAAGTTCTTCCATTATTTCTAAATGCCAATTATGCCATGTGCCTACTAAAAGTCTATTTTGCCCTATATAAAATAATCAAATACCATATATACCATTTATAAAACAAAAAGTCCATAATACCCTTTATGAAATAAACAAATGACATTTAACTAAATTAAACACATTTGCAACTTAAATCATAATTTTCGGCAATAAAATAAAAATGCATGAATATCAAAATGACCAGAAAAAATGATAAAAATGCAAGTGCTCACAGGGTGTAACCGATCTTGCAGGCGCTTACTTCTTTGCCCTCACGGTCGCTGATACCTTACTCATTGATCCGAACCAGTGCTATCTTCGCGTCACCATACCGCCTAATACTTGCACTCTCTCAGTCCGTAATGGTTTCCTTAGGATTTCTTTGGTGCTGCTTGATTGTCTCACTACCACGGTTGGGACCGTGGTGCTTTTAGTTCAAGGTGCTGATACCTATGTGGGTTAGAACCATGCCCTGTCACTAATAAGCAAAATAAGTGCAATGGCACATTTAATGTTGTGTTTTTCAAATCTACCAATCATCATATATGCTTATTGGTAGACATTAGAATAATATTTTTGTCTTTCTCTATTAATGTATTGGGATGCCTGTAATATGGCATGGTTATGTATTATCTCTTTTGTGTGTAATATAAAACAAATAAGGACATCCAATGAGTAATACCATAGGCTCAAAATTACATTCCATAGGCTCAAAATTGTTCGAAAACCGTTTTATCTGGTGAAAGTTGTTCTTTAACTTGATTTAAATAAGGAGTCAATACTATTTCAGAAACCATCTCATACACTATCCATCCTCCTACCATGTTTCAGACTTTCGATCTTTCATCTTGTTATTAAGTTTGGTGTTCCTCATATAATGAATAATGTATACTCACATTTTTTTTTTTTTTTCAGTAAATGGTAAATTTTATATATGAGAAAGACTGCACAATGCAAGCAAAGCAAAAGCCACAAAGCTAAACGGCAGAACAAAAGCTATGCTAGCTATACAGAGGCATTGGGGCTGATTAAAAGAATGAACAAAAGAAAAGAAAATGTCATGAACATCAACAGAGAGTGCAGAGGTCATCAACACCACTCACCAAGAAGCTGTCCAAAGAAACAGCGCAGAAATTGCACCAAACATACAACAAATGCAGGATCCCGGCAAATTCCACAAACTTGAATTTGATAGAGTAGCCTAAACCTGATAGTTTCCCATATGGATTTGACAACAGGAGAAGGAAAGCAAGAATTATTTCTGAATGCTCTGAAATTCCTCTCTTGCAAATAAGAGCATTTAATGATCTGATAAAATCGGCCTTATTAATTTTGTAAAAACGAAAAGAATCCATATGTGTTCAAGTGAAAAAATTATTGTAAAAAATCATGGTTTCGATGATGTTAACATTTACACTCGGAAAGAAACAAACTATTTAAACAATTTTGACATGCAGGACACATTTAAAAACTTTATTCTACGAGTGACGCTATCCAAATTGATAAGATAAGCAGGCTAAAGAACAGAAGAAAAAAGTGATTAATGGATATATTTATATGTGTCTCACATGATGTCATAATATCAACTACTACTGGTCATGTTTGTTTGATTTGGTTAATTGACATAGTTCTTCATTTGGAGAAGAATTAGTTTGACTATAATTTTCAACCTTCCCAAACTTTAAGAGGTGGAGGAGATTTTCATGTAAGTTAAAGCTAGAAGACAGTAGCATTCAAAAATACTAGAGTTTGAGGTGAAATTAGGGGTTTTGCATAAAATTGAGGTGGGAGTCTCTAACTCACATTTTCTTGTTCCTTTGTGGGTTAATTTCCAGTAATTGTTATTAATTTGTCTAATTGATGGTAATTACCCTAACATGACTTTTTTTTTTATGTGTAAAGTTAATTTCTAGTAATTGTTATTAATTTGTCTAATTGATGGTAATTACCTTAGCATGATTGTTTTTTTTTTTTTTTTCTTTTTTGTATGTGTAAAGTTCATGATTTTATATTTACATGTTGATTTGTATGAAAACCATGTTTAAATGTTGCTTTCCTATGTCTATTAAGTTGTAAATTGATGCATGAATCCTTGTATGATTTTCTTTGAAATTTTAGCAAAGAATGACTAGTTGTATTACATGAAATTTTTTATTTCCATAGCAATGAAGGTATGAGACATACATGCATGTCATTGGGCATAAGAAAGGGTAAAGTGATTTGACGTGGATAAAAAGGGATTTTTGGAAAAAAATATTTTGGGAAAAAGATTTTGTGAAAACCCGGACGCCAACGGGGTACCGAGGGTCCGTGGCGTTAATGTAGCCTAAAGAGAACTAGGGAGATCGCCCTAGCCTGGTTGAGCCAACTGAGACCCAAATGACGCCGCGGGATTACCAAGGGTCAGGGACAGTGACCAATCATTCTCTCGTATCGCCAAGGGGGTACTGAGGGACGGATTACGTTAACGGTTTGAAAAGTGAAGTTTTTTTTGAAGTGAATTTGAAAATGGGGAGCGACATGCATAGCATTGCATTCATAGCATGAAAATTTGTTAGTCTTGAACTTGAGAAATTTATGTCGTGTTTTCCCCGATTTAGAATGATCCCTATTCTTTATCCCTATTCAATATTTGGATTCACGGGGTCACAAGAGGTGTGTTTTAGGCACCACCTACTGAGCAATTTTGCTCACCCTATTATTTAACATTTTTCAGAGCTAGGAAAAGAAGTGGCGGATGACAATCCCTTACAAGCTTGAAGAAGATTAGGAGTTGTATTTTGTTATCTTTTGTATCTTAACCCATTTTTTTGGTATAGTCTCAAACTATGTAAAAGAGTATTCATTTTTGCAAATCATGGCCCTGTAACATAACTAAAATCCTTTATTATTTTTGTTGTAAACTGAGACTATGTAAATGCTTAAGTTTAATAGGATGAGGATGATGGGCTAACTTGGGGAGATTGTTGAAGAATGTATTATATTTCTTTTGTATTGTGTTGGGGCAGGTTGGATAGGTCTTGAAATGTCATTGCATTTTTTATATTTGAACAGGTTATTGTAAGACCATTTTTAGAGGAGTTCATGCCAATTTTTTTTTTTTTTTTTTAATGGTTTCAGTTTTTGGGTCGTTACAAAGTTAGTTTAGAAGCTGAGTTTAGCAGGCATCATCCAGAAAGGCAGAGGGAATGAGTTTGAAGTTATCCTAGTGGCATTACATCATCATCCTCTCTCTCTCTCTCTCTCTCTCTCTCTCTCTCAAGCATAGAAGTGTCGCATGGAGGAGGATGTTTTCAACCAACAGGGTATGATATCATGGAAAATAGATTTAATACTTCCTCAATATAAGTACAAATTTTAAAATTCATTTCAGTTACAAAAATCTATATAATATTATGATCCAATCTTTATGATCACAAATTGTGTTGATTCTCACATTGCCTTCACATCTGGCCACAAGACAAGTTGCTGAATAGCCCATTACCTAAAAAGCCCTCTCCTTCTCTTTACTTCCCTATAAATTTGCATGTTTTGAAGCTCTTGAAGAAGCACAAGACTAGAAGCTAACTTAATATCTCAAGTTGTAGCTAGCAAATAGCAATGGCCTTTCCTTCAACCCTTCTTGTCATCACTCTCGGCCTATTCATCGCTGTCACTATGCCATCATCTCAAGCCTTCATAGTCAATAATTTACCTATCGGTAACATTCAAACAGGGGGCACCATTTGTTGCACTGATGCTTCTATTGCCACGGCTAAAACATACAGACCGATCCCACGAGCACTGGTTGAGCTGCTCTGTGGACGCGGCTCCACTGAAGTAGTGCTGAGTCGGGGTGTGACCGATCTTGCAGGCGTTTACTTCTTTGTCCTCTCGGTGGCTGATACCTTACTCATTGACCCGGCCAAGTGCTATATTCGCGTCACCATACCACCAAACACTTGCACTCTCTCGGTCCCTAATGGTTTCCTTCAGATTCCTTTGGTGGTGCTTAATGTTGTCCAAGCCTTGCTTGGAAACATACTGTTTTTCGGTCAAGGTCCTTTAACCTATGTGCTCCCGTAAATTAGTGAGGGTTACTAAGTGCAAATGGCACATTTTAATGTTGTGTTTTTCAAGTTTATCAATCATGTGTGTTTCTTGGTAGACATTAAAGTTAACTTTTCATCTTTCACTAGTAATGTACTGGCTTGCCCTGTAATATGGCATGGTTATCTTTTCTATCATCACTTCTGTGTACTCCTTATCTTTCATAGTTTATCTATAAATCACACACTTGACAATGTGTATTTAGTATAATGAACAAATTAAAATTACCCTACTATACAGGTTTAAGAAAAGAAAACATATGGTAATTTAATTATACAGAGGAATTTAAAAGAAGGCTTCCCCAGACCATGAGTACTGCAATTGTCATCAACACTAAAATGTTTCAGAGAGTATATATATATATATATAGTCAGCTTAATTCAACATTCATGACCATTATACACTGTTCTTGTTTAGTTCTGGTCCTACTTATATGGACTTCTTGAAGAGGGAAACTAGATATTTGTCTGATATTTGATATTATTTATTTTTATATATAAAGTGATTAATTTATAACTTGAAAAAGTGTCCATACACGTATTGCTTCAAAATTGAGTCACTTGTTTATTACTCCAACCGAATATTTGTGTATCATTCAAGTTATCTGCTATTTTTAGTTTTCTTTGTTGCATCAGCAAAAGGAATTCCACAACAATTCCAACTCCTCTATTCTCTCTCTAATGCTTCTTCACATTCTTCCAAGTTTGTCTCTTGGCTCATTAACTAATTCACTTTGCACAACTCTGTGTCATAGTGTTGGGAAAAAGTTAAAGCATGGAAAATCCTCTGTTACAAAGTTTGAAAAATAGTGCGAGTAAGTTTATGAGAAATCAAATAAGGGGAAAGAACATTATTCTGTAGTATTAATCTAAGGATAATGCTTAGCTACTAACTGATAATAAACTCAATTGCTTGGAATAGGTAATGAAGAGTAAAGAAATGAAACTATCATGTTAATTTTAGTATTGTGTTATTTTGTTATTGGACTGTATAGGGGTGAGTAGCTTCACCCTATTCACTAGTGAGTAACTAAGTATTAAAGATAATGTGTTATTTTGTTATTGGACTATATAGGGTGAGTAGCTTCACCCTATTCATTAAAGATAAAGTAGATAAGCATTATCTCTAATATAAATGTTAAAGGGCATGATAGTAAAATTAACATGATAGTTTCCTTTCTTTACCCTTCGTTACCTATTCTAAACCAGAATTGAGTTTATTACTATTTTGTCCTTTCTTTTCTTTCAACGCTAATATCTATCATTTCTTCCCGAATGCACCGTGAGGTCAAATAAGTCAATCTAACTAAAGTACCTATAGTGATATGAATAGCATAACTGCCATTAAAAATGTCTTATCATAAAAATGTTTACGTCATTATAACTTTTAATGAGTTATAACCCCACACGCCCATGATACTGTGAGCTCCAACGTTCAACCTTCTCATTCCTCATCTCTTTTGAGAAAGAGATTATACCATCTTATTAATGCCCATTGATTGAACCTCATATTCTCATATATCCAATAGCTCATTTCATCATAGGACCCAGAAACATAAGGTGGGGGGATTGTGAAATTTTTAATAATTTCAATACTAAAAATACTAAATATATATATATATATATATATATATATATGAAAATACTAAAAATATTAGGGTATTATACTATAAAAAAAAAAAATTCAGTGGGAGCGATTGGGTCCATGCCTGCTCATCATCATGGCACATATCTCCAAATGATGTATCCTCTACATATTGCTATGCATGTGAAGACAGTATGAGATGCATGAAATTTCATTAGGTACAAATTTAACTTTTCAATGGTTCCAATAGTACTTTTTCACCTTCTAAATAAAAGATCGAGAGCTTATACCAACCAAATGATACTTTCTTTCCAGGTTGAAAGTTCAAATTTTCATATGGACAAAGTGGATGTGTGATTATGTTTTTGCCAAGACAAAAAATAATCATAATAAATAAATAAATCCATTTAGCATGAAGTGCATAATTCCACCGAAGTTCATTAAAAGAGAGACGAGAAATACAAAGGCAGCAAACACTGGCAAAATATTACTTGTTGGTAGTAGCTAATTATTTCAACATTTTTTATTTGGTATGGCCACAACATACGGCCTAGAGGGGGATGGGAGTTCGGTTATTGACATTAACAAACCACGAAATGCATTCACCTGTCATCTAACACATACGACCAAACATTGCCAATCCAATTTTTTTTTTTTTTTAATTTATTTTATTTTATTTTGTGCAAGTGCCAATCCAATTCTTAGGCTTTTAAAATATCCTGTCCAAAATTTTAACCCTCATGATGTCATTACTGGGAAAAATAACAAATTATATGGAGTCCATGTAGGCACATTCAAATCCCAAATCCACAAACCAAGAAAATTGTAGCAGCAGCAACTAACAACTAACAACAATGAAGAAGAAGAATACGAGGGTAACTACCATTTATATGCTATTACAACGCATAATCACCTCATTCTTCTAATCGTCAATATTTTGATTTTAACAGAAGTCCTGATATACATCACACGTGCCTAGTACAAATGAGAATTAACAAAAAGAAAAAAAGAATGCTTTGACTACCAAAAACATGATAACATTCCGCCAATTGGTGACCTTTCAATACAATATACAACACATATTTCTCAATAAAAACTATCAGAAATCTAAATCGTGAGGAAGGCCTCAAATCCACAGATATACATATAGCCACAATAGAACTATAACAGATAGTCGTATGGTGCCTACCTCAATCATTTGCTATTTATATATATCATCATCATCCTTTACACCTTATCATTGAAGATGATCCCAATCAATTGAGCTCCAGACATTTCCCTCTGAGAAAGTTACCTAGGTTTCGAGTCGCTTCCCTTGCTTCGGAATGACGAGAGAGAAAAGAAAGATCGTGGGGCTGTAAAATACACACAATGTGTAAGCACACCAATTTTAAGATGTGAAGTAATTTGCTAGACGTATGAATTTCCCTTCCTGCATTTTCATTAAAGGAGCCAATAAAACACATAATGACAGAGGAAGCTTAATCAACCATGATGTATCCTAGCCACAAACGATAACTGCTTGGTGTTGAAAAATCTTAACCAGACTAGGCACTCAGCAAGAGCGTTGTATATATATTTAAATAAAGCCTATCGAAGACGAGGTATGCTTGATTGTACGAACAAATCTCCATAAAAATAAAATAAAATAATTGCATTTACACATGGACACAACCACAGATCACATAAATATCAGATTAGAGCATCTCCAATGCAAAATGCTATTTTTTCATGTCAAAACTATATTTCGAGAGGAGGTACAGTGTCAAAATGCTATATTTTAGTAATTCTACTCCAATGGTACATTTCATCCAAAATACTATTTGGAGTGTATTATTTTCATCTACCTGCTATATTTTGAGAAACGGCACCGTATGAGAAAAAAAAGGTCTCCCAAAAATTTTTGAGAGCTGCTATATATGGCAATACTTCTGACAATCTCAAAATATAAGAGGTTTTTTGATAGCCCATTGGAGTGTATTATTTTCATCCACCTGTTATATTTTGACTTTGAGAGGGCATTGGAGATGCTCTTACATATATAAATTAGTCTAGTCAAAATAATACTCCTTTTTATTCACGTTATTACATACTGAACTTCCAGTGGAGTAATCTATGTAGATGATCTGTACGCTAATCTACATTCATGCGTATAACTCCTACATCAGTCAAGACATCATGATAAAATATGTAATACAAGCTAGCCAAGATCAAAAACAAGGAAATTTCTTTCAGAAAATAAATTTAGTGGATCACCTAAATGAAATGCAACAGAAGCTAGTAAATACTACCATTTGAAAAGAAGAAAAAAAAAAAAAAAATCTAGTAAAGACTGATTTCTTTATACTACATATATTCACATATCAGTGTAGACGCATCTCCAAAACACTATCTTTAATAGAAAGGAACAGAATTCGGTGAGATGTGTGATTGTGTTAGACTGACCAAATAGTTATATTGTAGCCTGTATTCAACTCTTAATATTTGCAGTAAAAAAGGAATGAGGTGGACAGAGAAGCATGGCTAGAGCATGGACGGAGAGTTGGAATGTTGCCTATTGTAAGAGATGCAGTTGCTAATCAAAGTCACTGTTGTTCTTACATATTACACAGCGAACACTAAAAACATCACAGTGACGTCCATTGTAGTACTACATATGCTACTAAAGAAAAGCCTTGCTACAAGTCCAACCAGGTTTAGAATATCAACCTAAACCAGGCTTGTTTCTAGACAAATCAACAAAATTTGTACGCCATGTATCTCTAAATGAAGTTGATGGTACTGAAGTAATCTTAAGTTTTCAAGGCCAATAAAAGAAGCTGCCCTAACTGTGTTATTTATTTGGTTCATGCTATTATGCTAAAGTGCAGTAGAGGATCCCCTTTGGAGTAACTATTCATTCAAATTAAAGCATTTATCAAGACATCACTAGAAAACTATGACAGGAAAAAACTTGGAAAATGGTTTATAAATAATCACCTTTTATTGAGCTTCCAGACAAATGATCCTCCCTTAGTTTGAAATTGGCTGGAGGTGCTGGGATAGAACTATGCAAGGCTTGAACTGCAAGAAGAAGAAGCATTTACTTATCAACTTGGAATCCAAGAAACTTTACATTCGACTCATTTTTTCCTTTTTTGGTAAGTGAATATTTTATCACCAAATAAAAGAAAGGATGTACAATAAAAATTAAAATACACTTTTGACTAAAGAAGTTCTAAAGTTGGAGAGGAAAATCCTGGCAATAAAAACGCACTCGCACACCCTAAGATGCTAGGGGAACAAAACATTAATAGGAATGGAAGAGAGGGGGGGAAAAAAAAAAAAAAAAGTGTAAGAATAAACCAAAATAAATGTTACACTAATCTACGTATAACCCCACACTTCCTTACATAGACACATTTATTTGTGCATGCGTATCGTATGAATGATGTAAACTTTGGGTTCTGCCAGTTGAAATTTTCTTGTATAAGCTTAAAATGTCTTCACTTCTAAAAGAGGGTAAAATCATCTTTCATTGGGGTAGGGGAAGAAAAAGAAAAGTATACGAGTGAGGAGGGCTTGATGGATAAAAATTGTAGGAAAAGAAAAGTGAATCTTGTTGGCCAATACTTTTGGACATTTCTTTAAGGTTATTGCACATGAATGTCAAAGTATGCCCATTAATGAAGGATACAACAACCACAAACAAAGCCTTTTCTCAACTACTTAAGGTCAGCTACATAAATCCTATTCTTCCAGTTCATTCTATGCAAGGCCATAGCCTTAGTCAAACCACATGTTATCATATCCTTCCTTACCTACTCTACCCACGTAAACTTTGGTCTTTCCCTTCCCCTAGCTTACCCCATTAATATAGGATAGCAGAAATAAAAAGTTACAATCTGTGGCGGATAAATGACAGCAATCACATATTGAGTTCTTACTTCAAACTACACACTAGGGAAGACGAAGAAATTGAGAAGCAAACACTTCCATACTATACAAAAAAAGAGAAAAGGCATTACAAAGTCATAATGATGCCTTCTTTCTTAAATCAATTCAGAATTGCATGGAGACCCACCACTGGACGGAAATTGAAGTGTAAGAAAAAAATCTGTAATTCCAGACACCCCCAACCCAAAAAAGACATAAATAGAGAAATGTCAGCACTAAAAGCATCTTAACATATCTCAGCCAATTACTTTTTCATGCTCAAAAGAAAAAAGGAGTTAATGATTAAATTATTGCCTAGTAGCAGAAGGCCCAGAACTTGCTCTCTAGAACAAATTTTAGTAGGCACCTTCTGAAAATGCGCGACTGCTAGACTAAAACACGAAAAACCTCCTATGCCTGCTTAGAAATATACATCAATAAATATAATAATATCCACAGTTAGGAATTAAAGAAATAAAGTTGCATCTTTGTATTATTCCATCAAATTTAAAATTTTAATAAAACCACGAGCTCAAAGCACAGTATTTTGCACAGAATTTTGAGATTAAACAATGATGTGTAAAACCTAATTTGATTCAAGTATGCAGTCAATAAGATATCCAGATAATAAGATTGAAGATAGTAACAAATTAAGAAACACTAAGATTACCTTGCTCACTGAAAAACTCGCTTTCATTGAAGCTATCATCAGAAGGATGGCCCTGGGAGAATCCCATTCTCGACTTCCTCAGATCTTCTGACGATCGATTGGCAGGATCTCGTCCATCTTCAGCATCATCATCTCCTTCAGAAGTTGTAGCAGAAACCCAGTCAACCAAACTTTCTGTCCCACGAGTTTTCCTTCCAAATTTTAGTAACCGCTTAAATCCTTTTGTCACATCCTTGCGGGATTGGTTATGGGAAACATTAGCAACAAGAGTAGGTTTCTGAGCACTTCCCCATTTCTTCCTTATTCTGGCTGCATCAGCCTCCGTCTGATTAAGAGAGTGTGAATTCCATGATGCAGGGCTCCCAATTGGAGAGTCTGCAGAGGCATCAATATCAGATGTCTCGTGAGGATAAGAAAATGGATGATGCATGCGCGAGTTCCATGAGACAGGACTTTCCCCTGGTGAATCCTGCAAATACCCAACAGCATGAAATGTGGAAGGCACAGCAGCAGGCAATTGAGTCACCAAAGAAGGATCCACTTCAGAAATAGATATCAGGGAATCACCATTTTCTAACACAGAATTCCCCAATTTGTCAGATTCCGGGCTCAATCTTGGCCCTCCATTATTCATGCTATTATGATCTTCAGTTGTAAAGGTTTCAGGCTCTTCCTCTTCATCTTCGGCCACATCCATAGAATCTAGTGGCTCAAAGGCCAACTCATCGGACTCGTCTTCATGATTCATAGTCTCAGATGCCATTGAAGTCTTCGACTTGGCAATACCCACCCCAGTACCAGAACCTACACCATTACCTTTCCTAAGGAATGGCTTCGACTCCACATTCTTTGTTAATTTTTCAAAGAGAATTTCTTCACTCTGCTGTTTATCAAACTTTAATGGCGTCAAATCGATACCCTCAGAGTTTATATGGGACATGTCCTTGAACTCGGTAGGACTTGCAGAACTTTTTCTCAATGAATGTGACCGACGTGGCTTCTCTTCCTTGACAAGGGGTATCTCTTCACTGATGCTTTTGCTGCGAGCATAGTTCCTCAATGGACGTGCGGTTGTTTTGCTAACTCCAGAAGAAGGCTTGGTGTTTTCTTTTCTCAAGTCAGAGAAGTTGGGGACTGACTGCGCAAGAGGATTCTCAGATTGCATTCTTCGCCTCCCAGGATTGGAGTTAGAAGCTTTGACAGCTGACCTTGGAATTGGTGATGCTGAGCTGCGAGGAGTGGATGAAGACAAATTTCTACTGGGAAAAAGCTTCTTACTTTGGGTGCTTCTAGAAAAACCATCCCCTAAAGATGTCTCACCAAAAGACCTATCATGATAATAAGGTTTCTGTTCTGGAAATTCGGACAGATCATCATCATCTTCACTCTGTGCAAAATCTAATGGCTGCAGTCAAAAGGGAAACTTTTTCATGGTTAGTTACAAATTACAAAATAGGAACTTCAATTTTCAAAATAAACATTTCATTCTACTCATCATTACTCGTACTTGTATTGAAAACATAAAACAAAGCAACATACCTCCTCCCTCTTCATAGTTGACCGAGTATTGAAGGATCTGAGCCTTTCAGCATGTTGACGAGCATTAAATACTGAATTCTGTCTATCTGCAGACCCTGAAAACTTGGCCTTCATCTCGGCTCTACTCCTCTCAAGGCTATCCTGCATGGCCTTCATCTTGGCTTCTTTCTCCGCTCTTTTAGAACTCCAATCTTCCGTCAGTTTTACATCCCTTTTCTGCATATACCTAACATAGAATTTTCCTCTAGAATCATCTGAGAAACCAAACTCAGAGAAATTCTGCTTTAGAGAATCACCATAATCCTGATTGTCTACCATCTTCATCAAAGGGCTAGCATTGAACTTGGTCACATTACTTGAACTCTCAGCATCATCAGACATTGTGCTCTTGTCAGGCAACTGAGCAGGAGCAATATCTGCCGCTGGTTTTCTGTACGATAAACTTGCTACCTGTTCACCCTGCATCTCAGCATTCTTGCTTCTCCATGTAGAATTGGACTGATCGCCAGGAACCCGAAGCTTATGCTCTGCAAAAAGTTTTTCAAGCTCATTTGCTTTCATTTTCAGCTCATTATTGAGTTCCTGGTTCCCTTTAGACTGCCTTACCCGCTGAACTTGCTCTATGGGTGTCGCCGGAGTTGAAACAAAGCCCTCCTGACCTTCCAAAACCATTTTACCAGAGAAGAACATCTTGCCACTTCCATAACGAGAAGTGCTTTCATCTCTTCTACCCTGTGACTTCTTGATCTGTTCAGAGCCAGAAACCTGTTTCTGGAACTTCATTCTTTGGAGTCCAGAATCTTCCACTTGATTCTCAGATGACAGCAAGTCTTTCTTCTTCACTTCCTCAACTTCTCCCAAGGATCTCCACCGGGGCTGAGAAGCTATTAAATCAACATCAGTCTCTTTATACTGAGAGCCGAAGGGTTCGTGATTTTTCAGACCAGAGCTACCTTCCAATTGCGTAGAGTCCACTGCTGTCCTCACAGGGGCTCTAATACGCGATTGCAAAGCTGACGGATTTCTCGATCCAACATCTTCCACTTTGTTCAAAAATTCACCATGTGGAAGTTGACATGATTCACCAGCAGGTCTAACGTCAGTGCCTCTGCTTGCAAAAGCTCCAAATTGGGTTTGAGGAGCAGCACGGTCTTCCAGCCTAGTAACTTCTGTCACAGATGCTACTTCCTCCTTAGTTCCATTGAATTTTCCTCGATCCCTCGAGCTAAACTGCTCTGCTATCCCACCAGGTAAAGATCTAAATTGGGCTTGAGAAGTTGCTTGATCCTTCAAACAGTTATCCTCAGCCCTGCCCAATGATGACCTTGACTGAATCTTACCACGTGTTTGATCTTTCAAACCATCACTTTCAACTTTCCCGAAAGTGGAGGTCCACTTATTAGAATCAGAAGCATCTTCTAACCTGCCAGAAGACTTCGTCAACTGGGATCCAGAATCTGTCCCTGCCTTCTTCCCAGCCACCTCTTCTCTGTTGGAAGTAACTCCAATTCGTGTCTGAGAATCAGCTTGATCTTTCAAACCATCATCACCAACTTTACTTGTAACAATCTTGATGCTGGGCTTTGCAGAAGTTGTAGTGTCATTATGTCCCTTCCGGTCTTCTGACTTGGTCTGAGAAACCGAGGAAGAGGTGGGCGTGCAGAGAGGACTCTCGATTTCCTTCTTTTCAACGCTCAAATCAATACTCATGTCGCTAACACCACTCCATCTCCTCAACACGGCCTTCTCGACTGCAGTGGGGACCGATGACACGTCGGACGAAAGCCTCCGAAGCTCGGGAGACTTACCAACGGTGGGCTTGCCACCACTACCAGAAGTCTCCTTCTGTTTGTTCTCGAATAAGTTGATTCGGTCCTGCACGCTGAGTCGCCTGGAGGCCTGAGCAGCCTTTGACGATGACTCGGTCTGATCGACGCTCTCTTCTTTCTTCTCATTTTCAACAGCCCCGTCCCTTTCGCTGCCGTCGTCTTTATCAATGCTTGACTCCCTACTACGTCGTAAAGGGAAGGTGACAAAAGAGGACTTGGGTTGCTGACACGTGGAGGCTTTTGATTGCTCAACGAGGCATTGTTTTTCTTGGTTTGCGTCTGGTTCTCGGCCGGTCGCGTACTTGTCATGTTCGTGGGGATGGAACTGGGGTTGGTGGAACCCACGTTGTTGTTGTTCTTCTATCGGGTCGTCGTCGATGGACATATCCGACCCGCAGGAAGATCGAACGGCTCGATCGTCTCCGGCCTTCCATGGACTGATCAAGTCCGGCCGTCTGTCGCAAAGCGATATGAACTTGCTGCACGCTTCGCTGCACCAAAATATCACAAAGAATCATGAGATGAAATTGAAATTTAATTTCTATTTTTAGATCGTAAACTAATAGATAATAAAACAATTTTCTTTATTTTTAAATTTTCGCTAATCCCAAGATATCCAATATGGATAAGAGAGATGGCCCACTTAATCAGATCAATGGCATGTGGCGGCGAAAATTGAAATTACTCTGTAAGTTGGGCTACCAAGACCCTAGCATTGATAACATGGACCCACATATCAATAGATCACGGGCTGTCCCATGAGACCCACTTCAGAATCCAATGCCAACTGAGTTTGTACTTTCCACGTATCAATAGAATCTTGCTTTCCAACGAAGCCCAGCACATAAATAAATAGGCGTTAATATTCGTACAAGAATATGCCAGTGGAACTTTGAAAAAGCTAAAAAAAAAAAAAAAACCTTTAATGGAGAGAGTGCTTCTTGAACCGACGGAAGAAGCCTTCAATGTCCAAAGCCTCCATGATATAATTAACTATCTTTGAAAGGCCTTCCCATGGAGTTACACGGAAGACGCTGCACCCATTTTTTACTCTTTTTTCCACCAAAATATTTTTAGAAAAGCCCCAGTAAAACTCATGCAACTTTCATCACAAAGTCACAAAAAAGACAATACTACTATTTGAAGGTACTTTTTCTTCTTTTTTTTTCTTTTTTTTTCCTATTAGATTCATAATTTAGGAGCGATGTTCGTGAGGACTGCGTTAGCATCCCCTCAACTTTTTCTCGTGCTCTGGAACAAAGAATTACTTTAGAGGTTCCATTTCTATGCGCCAAACTCAAAAGAAATGGCTCAAGAGCCCATGGATCAGGAGGGAGAGGGTCCAATCCAAGAAGACGCACGCCGGAAAGGCTCAAACCAATTCTATAAAAGTGAACAAATGGGAACTTCAGTTTAGTTATTTATTTATCTTGAAAAGAGAAGGCTGTGATATTGGGTCATCCCCTGCTGCATAAACATAGATTAGCAAACGTGTAAACAACGATTAAGATATGAGGATAGCCATTTTATTCAAATGATGCCAATGGTACCCAGTTTGTCCCTCCCAACACCAAGTAGATATTTGGTAAGCCAGTCATACCAGTCATTAGTATGCCCAAGCCATGAAAATCCATCACCACTTGCAATGTATTGTGGATTTTCATAAGTTGGTCATACCAATGCTCACACAATATTTTCTCACCAACACACTCACTTGATTGAGGCCACATTTGATAATAGACTTTTGGCCCTTTAAAAGGTTATGAAAAAACAAATTGAAGGTTTTCATCTTGTGGTTTTCCAGTGCCGTCGTTGCAGAAGGCATTTCAGCTAAAATATGAAAATAAAGTAAAACGTCAACCTATCTATCAAGGTCTGACCCAGAGTCCAGACCCCACTAAGAGATAGGTCACAATAAGCAGATAACATGCTGCTGAAAGGAATTTTATGCAAATGTAGTTTGCTTAAATTTTTAAGTGGCACCATCCAGTTGTTTAACACTGAACTCAGTAGGGAAGACACAAGCAAGGAAGACTCCATTCTAAAATTTTGTTTGTTTGTTAGAGGGAGTAGTAGAAAGATTGAAAGGAAGATGAGGAAACTGATACCAGTCAACTGCTGATCTTTCTAAGAAACCAAACAAACCCCTGACGAGTTTAACAAGAAGAGGATGATTGACCCCTGGCAACATTCTGCGTTGTGTTTTTTTTCCCCCCCTTTTTCCCTTAAGTTGCTGTTTTTGTTCCTTATTTGTTCTATTTTATGGGCATCAACAAAGTATCATCCTGTAGAAAGAAAAAAAAAAAAAAAAAAAAAGGGCATCTCCCGTCAAGCCCCCTTGGCTTTGGTGTATATTTTCACTGCATCGTTATTTGGAAAGGAAATTATTGGCCAAACTCCCTCGCCATTTATATTATCTTTATGCTTCCAACCCAACCAAACACAAAACACTACAGCAAAAGGGATTCATGAACACACACACACACACAATGTTGAATATTGAGCTGCTTGCCTAAGTTGCAAAGATTAGGCAATCTCGCCAGAGTAGCAATATTATAACTTTGCATCACTTAATAGAGGGTCACGATAAGGAAAAGGCGAGGCTTTATTATTTTTTTTAATTTATTTAAATATTTTATTTTTTCCTGTGTGAAAAAATTTGTGGTGATTGGAAAGGAGGGAACAAAGAAAGACGAGGGTTACAAAGTTCTTACTTTAAGCGACCGGCCCCAAACTGATTTGCAAACAATTGAAGTTCGGAGACTGTGTCAGGAGTAAAACCAGCAGCTGCAGCACGAACACAAGCTGTGGTGAAGTCCTGCCTAACTGTATCAAGCCGTACATCAATAGCTCTCAGAAGTTCCTTCCTGAGTAAACAAATATATACATATATATATAGAAAATACAAGTCAGGCCAGAAAAAAGAAAAGAAAAAAATAATAAAAAATCTGATGTGCATACAGCATATTAACCAAATTTCACTAGATGACCCATTTGGCATATCAACCATTTCCATGTTAAGATAGCATGATAATCTGTCATAAGTGAGGGTGATCAAATATGGCCATTTCTATGAGTCAAGATCTGGCTCAACTCTACTTGTAAACGTCAAACGTGCACTTTCATTAAGAGGTATGGTCATCGTCAAATAAATTGTCACTGTTTCAGATGAAAGTTGGAGGATTCTGTCTGGCTTTGTATACAACTAGAAGGGTGGCATGTGCACATTTTGCCAATCTAATGTCAATATTTTTTATTTTACAAGTTCAAGAGATGAATAGTGAGTTTTATGTTATGAGTTATGACTAACCATGTCTCCCTATATTAGTGGGAGGTGGATGATAAGGCTTCTGTCTTAATAAACAAAACAAAAACAAGAAAGCAAATTACTTGTTAGTCCCAAATTTGAATTTTGTATATGAAATGGGGAAGTTACAAAATGGACTAAGGGGTATTTTAAGGAGAAATATGAGAAAACCAAGAGGTTTTCTCCCTTTATGATAGTAATAACTACGTCCACTAGATGGTATCTCAGCAGTGTGACACTTTGGTTCCCTAAAAATACCAGACCAATCACTTGAGCCGGAGAACTCCCTTGTTCAGTTTCACAGAAGAAAGCCCCTGAACTTAAATCATTTTACGTCCAAGGAGGAATTCTAAATCGCAGTAGATACCGCAAAAGGGCCTAAAAGACGGTGGCACAAACAAAGTACACATGAAGTGCACAAACTAAACAAAAAGTATCAAAAGCAGAAACACATACTCCCAAGAACTCTACAAAAGAATCAACTGTCAATCGTATACAACTATGATCCAAAAAGCTAGTTTTAAAATTGTAACACTAAAGGAAAGGGTACTAAGGACTATAATGGCTCAAAAGTTACTAAGAATCAATCAAAAGGGAAGAGAAATGTGAGAAATCACCGGAGAGAAACAATGAAAATGAATGAGCAGAATGACAAGGATAGGAATGCTGCCTAGCAGCCTCCCCTGCTATCACTATCGTGCATGTATTTATAGCAGTCCTTTCACATGTGATGTCCAAAGAACATTCCTGGTGGACGCAAATGATTGCGCTATGTGTCATTCTATCATCCACTGGGTTGGGATGCGAATACCCCCTCCTTTGGGGTCACATGTCATCTGCAGTGCGGTTTCATGCCTATATCCCATTGAAATGAGCCCTTGATCCAATCCTCCACGCCTAGATCAAACCCCTCTTCCCGCCTGGGTTTATGGCCTCCATGTAATAGGAATTCCTGCCATAAACACCTGGGCAATGGCATTCCAAGCTCATATAATTGGAACCATGAACTGTACCGAGACTTCACACCAACCACAGTATGCATGATACTATTTAATCAAAAGCAGTCAACATGCATCTTGACACAGTTCTGCCATGATACCCCTTAACCTAGGAACATAACCTATAGTTTAGATTTGATTCCCGATCTAACTGCTTCACATAATCTAAATGATTGCGTCAAGGTAGTTAAAATCAAGTGTGCCTCTCACTATGCCCACGCGCCTGATATTCCTTTTTTTTTTTTTTTTTCTTTTTGGCTATATTCCCAAAGAGGTCATGGCCCAGGGCTTATCATATGGATTATGTGTTTCTGACACTCCATCTCTCGTATTCCCTATCCTGAGGTATTTGATGTATGTTAAGCCCATACGCTTGGCCCAAAGAACAGCCACCATCCAGTTCTGCAGAGAGGGACCATTTGAAGGAGAACAGCCACCTATCCTGTTTGTTGCATGACCTCCACTCCATAGCAGTGGGTCTCGATGAAGGATCTGCGGCCACCAAATTCTGTGGTCTGTGTATTGCTCTGCAGCCATTGAGTGGCTATCTGTTCCCGCGGCGCCTGTTTACTTGCACCTCTTATTCTTTATTGCTGTGTTTTCTTTATGAATTGCTGGCTATGTTACAAAAATAAATGTGTTTCAATCGATATATTCGAAGCTCCAGCCTTCAGACGCTTTTAATTCCTCACACCAAATACACCGCACGAGGCACAGTGCGGGCAGCATAACACTCATTTCTAACTCAATGCCTGGTGCAATTCCCTCTCTAACTACCAATCATCCCACCACTGAGCTAGGTAAGATCCACTCAATTCCAAACAAGGACATATGAAGCCCTCGCTCCCTTGCCACGTTGAATTGCAAGTGAAGATGACCCACAGTTTCCTTTTCCCTCTTGCACATACAATATTTGCCTTCCTATGAGCCACTTTAGGTTATTAACATAAGGATAGCGTCAAAGGTAACCATTCAAGGAAGAAAAGCCACTTTACACCTCTGTCCGGTGGGGAGGCTATGCCCAAATACTCTTCGGAGGGAAGTGTAGTGTAGAACTACTGAGAAACGCCTGACAAAAGAGATTGTACACCGAATATCCCCCAACTCTCATGTTGCATTTGGGAGCACCGAATCAGTGCTTTGGATTTGAGATTGGAGAAAATTCAGTTCATACTTTTAATTAAATTTCTTCCGATTCCAAATCCAAGCCGCCGATTCGGTGCTTCCAAACATATCCTCAGACAATTTCCATCTGATCGATTTAGTTCAAAGATTTAACCAAATTTCTTCCAATTCCAAATCCAAGCCGCCGATTCAGTGCACCCAAACAAGCCTCAGAAAATTTCCATCTGATCGAATCCTACACCTTTCTGATAACCAATATCCCTGCTGCCAATCCAACAAAACAGTAACTAAATCCAAATTTTACTCCAGAAGCCTATCCTAAATCTCAGATCCCACCCCACTTCATCACCCAAAGAGACAAACTCAACCATCAATGTGCCTTGGTTTACATAATTTGAGTAAGCTTGGGAAAAACCATTTCTGTAAGGATCTCTCCACACCACACATTTTATGCCAAAAATCCAGCCTCATTTCCATTCCCCAACACATAGCAAATCAAGTTGACAGGCTCTAACCAACCCTTCAAAATACTCTTCAATATTTTTTTTTTTTTGATAAGTACAAAATACTCTTCAATAAATCCACCCTATCATAATCCCCGTTCCCCACCTCTCTCATCACCCACCCTCCTCAAGTGCTCCCATACTTGCTCTACCACTCTCCTCCAAAAGACATTCCCCATTCAGAGTATAATAACTCCACAGCCATTCCAGCACAACATGCATCAATTACCCCGAGTTTTCTGATACCTGAGCCCCCACCCGACAGAAATACGGGCCTTATACCAGTCTAATAGATATTTGAACTCATCCTCAAATCCAGTCTAAGACAAGATAATTATGAACTGACAGACATCTACAAGGCAATAAAGAAAAAAATTTGCTAATTTAGACAGCCACTATTGCAACAAATATATACTCCCTCTGTCCCAAATTATAAGTCCATTTTTGGGTTTTCTAAATTTTTATAATGCATTGTCTCTTTTTAAATTTACCAAGTTACCCTTTGAGGTTTATATATATATATATATATATATATATATATATATATATATTATCAAGTTGGAGAAAAATTTTAATCCCAATGGCAACTTTGGAAAGTTAAAAAAGTTAAAAGATATCCGAAAGTGGAAGTGGAAAAGTTATATTTGGGACATCCTGAAAAGGAAAATGGACTAATAATTCTGGACGGATGGAGTATTTATATATGTGTGTGTGTGTGTGTGTGTGTGTGTGTGTGTGTGTGTGTGGTATATTTGCATTCCCTTCATACTCAATTAAATATGAAGAATATCTTGCAGTTGTAAGATTACCCCATTTCAAAACTGCGAAAAGGCTCAATCTTAAAGGAAAAACCAAAAAGTTACTTATTTTGTAGGAAATTATAGTATGATGAAGTACCCAAAAAAAATGGTTGAAATTTTAACAGCACATATTCCAGGACATAAATATAGGGAAATCAATACTTTCATTTTGAGACAGAGGGAGAATATTTGGGGTTCTCAAGTATGAGGGAATAAGCTAATTACCATAATCATTCAACACATTTAAAGCAATAAAGAGAGAGAGAGAGAGAGTTACTTTGTTGCGTCAGCTGCTGCTGTGGCTCCGACTCCATTCCCACCTGGTCCAAATTACAGAATCAATAGCTGAGTTAGAATACTAGTAACAATTCATACTAAATTGAGAATTGGGTTCCTGTTCATAATTCAAATTAAAAATTAAGGTAGATAGATAGAGAGAAAGAGGGGAGCATCCTGTGCATTTTACACATTAGGTTAATTTAAGATTATTAATGGTGATTCAATTTATGTCCTGCTTAATGGTTTCACTCATAAAACTGGTTACAAACATGAGAAAAGGAGAGTCGTGCTAGGAACCCTACCAATATAAAATTCATAGTCCCAGCTCATGAACATGGATCCTAAGAATATAGGTAGTGATGTTTCATATTGACTACCATAATAAAATGCAATTAACGGTATTTTTGTTTTTGAACATATTGCAGGAGACTCTAATGTATAAATGATTACTGATCATCCAAACCAGCATCAAACATTTTTAGACACACTTATGATAATGATAGATGGTTGACTTGCTTTTTATTGACAGCGTCCTACTCCTCTATCTGAAATTTGTACTAAGAGACACGAGATGTCAATGGACATTTCATTCATCTTCGAAGTAATAATGTGCCTAATTGTTTCATTATTCAATCACTGAATAAAAATGTTCATGTTATCAGGAACTACTTACGGTCTATAGGTAAGGTCCAAAGTACCAAAACGACATTTAAGTATTTGACGAATTTAATTCATAAAAATGGGTGATATTTTATCTCCTTTGTTGTATTATTTGCTTGCGCAGTAAGTCCTTAGAGTTTATAGGTAAGGTTTAGTACCAAAACAACACTATGCAATTCATGAGTTTAAATCATAAAATTTGGCTATTGTTTATCTCCTTTCTTGCTTCTTCCTCTAATTATTCCTATGTTTCTACTTTTCTTTGTTGCTGTACCGTATTCGAACAAACTTATTTTTGTAATTTTGGCATAAATAAAACTCTAGAACTCATCTACTTTAACATAACACTTCAATAAATCATTAAGCATCAGTTCTATCTTAATAAAACACAAAAGCATTGGCAATCCTGAACCTTATGTGACAGGCTCAAAGACATGTTCTGAGTCCCAACTAGATGCGTACCGAGTGATCTTTGACCTATTAAGTTGGTGCAGGGAACCCCCACAACTAGTCCTTTTCGGGTGGAATCGACCCTATGACAGTGGTATCAAAAGCAAACCGGCAGTACTGCCAGGTGGCTTGAGGGATTGTAACTCAAATCCCACGCGGATGGTGGGTTTCCCTCGCAGGGGTGCAAAGGGCCTTGGCAGGGGAGCCTATCACAAACACGTACACATGTTTTAAGTCCCTCATTTGGTGTACATTGGCTGGTTTTGGGCTTATCAAGTGGGTGCAAGGAACCCACAAGTGACCAGTCTTTTTAGGTTTGGAATTGGCCCAACTTAACCCATTAAATAAGTGATTGTCAATAAAATTATTCAATGTTTCTAAGCACAACCTAAAATCACAGATGTGCAAGAAAAAAGTAAGAAACTAAATATTGCATTCCATTTGCGATTCATATTTCAAGGTGCTATCTTTGTTATATCCAGACAACTCAAGGTGAAAGTAAAATTATATAATTAAAGCAAGAAGATGGGCAATAAAACATACCCAATGTGCCGGAGAGCTGATCTCCCCCTCCCTGAAATAAATAATAAAAAAGAGATTCTCAAATTCAGCAATAGAAAGAATTCTTTTTCCCCTAGTTATTAGTTTTTATGCAGTTACACTTATCAATGCCCTGGGAGCTGCTACCTGTGAATAGATTCTTCGGGCTGCTTCCAATTGAGACATCTCTGCATCAAGTGTATTGACCAGTTCCAAAACCTCAGGTGTACTAACAAATCGTACAAACCTGAAGACAACAATTTCTAATTACATCAAAGTTCATATGCATAGTCAAATAATCTTTCAGTTGGCAATGTGCATAACCTCTCAACTGTTCCTTTCGTGAACCACGTTTCAGCATTTTTACGTCTTTGAACTTCAAGCTTAATTGACGGAACTGCCAATACCACTTGCTCTTCTGCAACCTTCAAATGAGTCACAAAGGGTTTCACCAATCCTGATGCAAGCTTCTCAGTGTTTCCAGCCCTAGAAACAAATAATTCACATCTGCAAAAAATAAAAAAAAAATAAAGAGTAATAAATAACTATCAAATACTAAAGACCCTGAAAATGAAACCCATGAAAGAGATATCCTCACCTAGAACGCTTTGGTGACAGCTGGAATACAGCATAATCAAGAGGCGTGTCAGATTGCATCTTCGTTTTGCTACAGTGGCACTATCTCTTCTCTGCCCTCCTTCATATAAACAGATATACTTCTAGGCACTCAATAATCAGATCCTATAAATTGTTTTAAATTTATTCAGGCTCAGAACTTCACGAACACGATTCAAATATATACAGAACTTCACGAACACGATTCAAATATATATATATATATATATATATAATCACGTCATCAAATCTACCACAAAAACATTCTTGTTCTGAGGGAAAAAAATAGAGAAAAGAAAAAAAATTGCAAAGAAAACTGAAGTTGAAGAGAAATCAGTGAAACACTCGATATACAAATATAAAAAATAGAACCAAATTCTTCACTGATTATACATTAAAATGTAACAATCCCAAGAAGTGGCTATCGGCAAGTAAATGCACTATACAGCTAGAATCAGTATAAAAAAGTTGAACTACAGATCTTAATCCTTAACCGAGCTTCTAACAAAAGCACCTAAAATTGAACTCCTCCACCAAATTAAAATCATATATCAGATATGCTAAAATCAAATAATGTCTCAGATCTGATTCTACAAAAGCAAAATTCAAATGGCGAAATCGAGAATATATACAAACATATATAGGTATAGAGACAGAGTGATTTAGCAAGTTGAAAGTTTGCTGAGTGTAAATACATCACAACCTAAGTAAGTCCAGATAATGACAAAAAACTGAGAGCCTTAATATGAACTCAAATAACTGAAAAATCTCAATCAGTTTCAGTACAAATTGGAGAGAAATGTGAGACGATCGTCGAAATCGAAACTCACCTGTGCGATATCAATGCGAAGATCTTCGATTCCCGAAACGGATCGTTGGATTTCGGTTCAAATCCGAACCAACATTTCGGTTTTTTATTGCATTTATATTCTTTCCTTCTTCTTCAGAAAGCCTTTTTTCGATATTTTTAGGTTTTTGCTTTTTTCGGTTTTACGAAAACCCTACAATGGACTGGACTGGCCTATAGCTGTCGTCGATGGTTTTCGCTTTACTCCTTTCTCAAAATGATCTTCTCTCACTCTCTCTCTCTCTCTCTCTCTCTAAAACACTCTCTCTCTACACATATATACTGTATTCGAGATACAGTGGAGAGGGAGTTGGAGACCAGGGGTAGAGTTCTGTACTTCAGACAAATTTTAATTACTAAAAAGGCTTAACTAGGATGAAAATGAAAGGCAGGCACTCTCGGGCTTATGTTTCAAATTTACAGAAAAGAAGCTTCACTTGAAATTTTTACCTAAAAGAAGAAAAAATGTTCACTTGAAATTACTATAACACCCCTTCGTTATTTTGTTGTCAAATCAAATATTTCACAAACATGTTTTGTAATACTGTAGTCTGTGAATTGATTGATTTTTGTCTCATGTAAAAGAAAATATTTAAAGAATCCTTTGATTAAAAACACCACCTAATAGTAGTTAATCAATAACTGTATTAGATTGAAATATTGAAGACACACATTGGGTTTACTTGAAAACAACCACCTAATAGTAGTTAGGAATATCGAAAAGTAACTCTTATTGAGTCCAATTATAGCCTTAATTGGTATGTGTACTTCTGGTATGACAAACCTTCAAATCTGATCAAAAATATATATATACATATACATGCATACATACGTGTAAGGATTGGTTTTATAGTTTTTTACGCTAAGGGGTTGAAAATTTTAGTGTTGTTTGATAATTTAATTAAAAAGTAAATTTTGAACGAATTAAGTATTTATTGAATTAAATATGGTCGATAAATTAATATAAAATTTAATCACAAAATGTTAAATTTTGAACACTTAAAATTAAAAATATATATTTAAAAAATCTCAACTTTTTAGTACCAGTTTACAAAAAAAATTCACACTTAAAACTCAACTCTTAAATTCTGGACTCAAACCCCTCTCCTACTCTTTGGATATCGAGACATTATACCATTGAATTAAATACCCTTTTAATATATATACATATATATATGATTAGGATGTTTGGCTCAAATTGTAGTTTGAACAAAACAATTATGCTTTTCTAATTAAAACCTTAATCCTTGTGTTAAATCCAAGTTTTTACTAATTATAATGAAAAGACAAAATTACCTACTCTTAATGTTTTAACATTATTTATGTATCATGCATGAAAATCTCTTTTCCAAGTAAAGTGAGGGTGGTCTTTAGAGACACTAGGTTTGCATATTGAATAAAATGAATTATAATTATATTGTATGGTTCGGAAAAAAGACAATTCTCTCCACTTATACTTCTAATTTAGTTTTAAGAAATAAAAACATAATCTCCACTTTCACACCTTTATATTTGAATTGGACCACATGTGCATTACAAAACATTATTAATTGTGTGAAGTGCTACGTTCGTCTACATGTTTTGGAATTATTTGTGGGACCATGGATATTGCATTCACATATTGGATTGTTGGTTTTGGTCCTGTTGGGATAGTGGAAAATCAATAATATGCCTCGTTAAAAATTGTTGGCTTTTTATTTATTTTTTCAACGATTAAAATTGTTCACTGTCTGTATGTGATTCAAAATCAAATCTCCATTCGTTAAAGAAAAAGTAGATTTCAACATTTCAAGTTTTCATGGCTTGTTCTGAAAGTAAACCTTCCCTCCCTTTTCATTATATTTTTAAAACCGGAGATATCGGAGCTAAAGCCAAAGGAGAATCTAAACACAGAGTCAAAAAAAATATCTTAACAAGGAAAAAAATTAACAATAATAATTAACATTATAAGGATTTTATCAACAATTTAATAAAAAAATTAACATTAAGAGATTTTATAACAAATTAGTGGAAACATTATTAAAATGTTAACAAAATTTTAAAGACTAATTTTATAAAACCCCCACTACTTTTAAATTTTGATCATAAATCTTCAATATATTTTAGAAAACTCCCAAAAGTATAAAAATTGATCATATTGTCCCGATATTCGTATCCGACCTATTAACAGGGCTGTAAAATGTCGAATTTGTCTTTAATATTTAATGTTAAATTAAAAAACATAATTATCATTTTGAAGTTACAGAAATATCCCCATGCCTTCTTCCTCCTCTTCTCCCCTTCCCTTTCATCCATGGACGGCTGATTATGTTATCTAGACGATTTTGTTCACAAACCCACTTCCTCTAACAATCACAAGAAAATTTCTATGATTCACAAATCAAAATGAAACATTTACCAAAAACAAACCACCGTATATAAATATTGGTTGATTTGCATATATATATATATTGCAATAATACCAAACTACTCAAATTAACCCATCGTGTGTGCGCGCGCGTGTGTATATTGCAATTACACCAAACTACTCAAATTAACACATTATATTACTCAAATTACTCCTTATAATTGCAAAGATGATTCAGTGGTTGTGGCTTTGGTTTAGAGAGAGAGGGGGTAAGTTTCAAAGGAAGGGAGTAAGGAGGAGGAAGAAGATACGGGAGTATTTCTGTAACTTTAAAAATGATAATTATATTTTTTAATTTAATATTAAATAAAAATGTCAAATTCGACACTTAACAACCCGGTTAACAGGTTAGATACGGATATTGAGGCAATGTGATCAATTTTTAAAGTATCTGTATTTTTTAAAATAGGTTGGGGATTTATGATCAAAATTTAAAAGTATTAGGAGTTTTATGGAATTAGTCCAAATTATAAATATAAATATATAAATATAAAAATCAATGTAGTTAAGGTAGATGAGCATAAGTCACATCATAGCTTCCAAATATGTAACTCACATAATATTATTATTTTATAATTTCTATCGTGACAAATAATTTGTCTAGATAAAGAAGTAGATAATATTACATATATTTAATCTTCTTCAAACCTGCAATGAAAAGAGTTTCATATTTATGTTCTTTATTTGATTGATTGTGTCCACAACTCCCCTTTTGGGAGTAGGGCTATTTCCTTTATATACACACAACCAACTTATTATAAAGCCAAATTACCATTAACTCAATATGCAAATTGTGATCCATATCTACATGCCATTAGCATTTGTACAGGTATTACTACCTCATAGACGTGTTTAACTTATAATCTCCAACTAATCATAACCCTCATCCTTTCTCCAAACCTAGATTGGTTGTGTGAAAAATAAAATGAAGTACTGCAATACACAGAATATTGATGGACTTATCTACAATTAAGTACATATAAAGGAAGCCGTATTTGCCAAATTAATTAATATAAAAGATTATATATATACACATTGGCTACACTTAACAACCGACATCCCAGGTGATGTAATATTTGGGATCAGATAATTAGTCAAAATCTCCCTCTCTCTACACACACACACACATTGACACACGCACACAGTCAACAATTCGTCCGGACAGAATGTGCACCCATAAGATTCTTTATAGGCTACAGATTGAAGGGTCACCTTCCCCATTTATTGCAGTAAATTGTACCAGTTGAAGATAGTATTTTGACAGTTTACCATATGTGCAAATTAAACAGCATGCTCTTGGTGATATATATATATATATATATATATATATATTGTGGTTATTTATAGAATTCCCCATGTGCAGTTGTCAAAGATACCTCTCTGAAAGGGGATGTGTGTTCTCTGTTCTCACCAGAGTCAGTGTTGTACTTTCATGTGCCCTCCTCCCACTCCCTCCGACCCCCAAATTCCCCTCTTATTTATTTCCCAACCAATTTTTTCTTCATACCATCTCTGTCAAAATGTTATGTTAAGACATACATGCTATAAGTACCTTTCTATTGATAATGCAACCCAGACGAAACACATTTACAGTAACAATATGCGTTGCATCATGCATTACATTATCGATGTAATATTATTGGGTATGTTAATTTTAAATTCTAATTTTATCCTTATCCCGGATTAGCACCTTAAATTTGTCAACTAGGCCAAAAGGCATATATAGAAAGTTCCTTGTGCTCTAAAGCATATCTTATGTCAATTTTTACATTACATCAGCTATTCAAGGATGCAGTTCCTAAGATATGTAAGAGTTATTCAACCATAAATTTTGTTATAAATATGTTTAACTTAATATTGCTTTCTTGGTGATATTGTTGGAAATGACGTTGGAATATGTGGAGTGATAGGTCATTGTCTCAAGATACTACTACAGAGCCACGAATGTGACTTAATCACACCTAGTTAACTCTTTCTTTTTTGGGGGTTAAACAATTGAAATATTCCACAAGCTCTTAATCTCATATAAAATAGTTTTGTAACACTTGGTTTACTTGAGACTCTTGCGTATTGAGACATTGAAGTGTCCTTGTTCTTCGTAGATTTAAGCATAAAAGTCTCGTATTTGTCTTTAGCTCAAATTAAAATTAAGTATATATTTTATAGAGTGTCAAACAAGTTAATTAGACACCACCAGGAATGAAACCTGCAACTTAACTTAACTCAACACGAAAATTTATCAAGTTCAGACAAAATAAGGATTGACAAATTAAAAACTCTTTCTTGATTCTATAGGTGGTGGTGCATGGTCATTCTTAGTCGGTGGAACGATTAAAAAGATGATATTTGTCTAACGTGTCACACAGTGAGAATTAATTGATCAAACTTAGTCCAATAATCAATCGAATCTTTAGATTGAATCGATCAAGTTTCAACAATCTCACTCTCTTGTTCTAAGAGACAATATTTATTATTCCATAAGCGCTTATATTGACCATAAATATCTTCTTATAGAAGAGAATAACCAAACCATACAAGAAAGCCATGAGAATTTGTAGTAGAATTGGGAGTTGAGGAGTTAGAATGCTCCTGTAGCACCCTATTATTCTAATAATGGATTTTGTTTGATCTCCTTCTTTTGGGCGAATTAAATGCTTTAAGATAACATGTTATTATTATCAAACTTACAAGAATAACCTACAATTTTATTTTCTTGAGAAACTTGAACACCCTCAGAATTAGGTACCAAATCATCTTAATTTTACACTGCAATTGTGAATTTGAAATTGTGCAAACTTATGGGTCAAAACTTAAATTTTCACTACATTTGTGATTTGCCCTCTCCAGCTAATAGTCTAATGATTTACTCTAATGATTCACTGTGACAGTCCAATTATGTGCTGTGGTCATTGAAGTGAATTA